CCCCCACCCTCTACAAAGACACACTGGCTTCCCCCTCCCCACCTACCTTTGCTCCCTCACACCCGATCCACACGCCTTCAACACAACGTCCTGCCCATCTTCTACAAAATTCTTCCACACAAAAGATTCCAACACACTTCCACTGTCAGTCATCTCCAGAAACATTGGTGTCACAGACACTTCTCTGACACACAGGTCCTCATACACACATGGTCCCACCCAAGCGCATCCTACCCCCTCACTCTGCATACACACACGCCTTCCCCTTCCATCCCATGCTGGACCTGTGCAGAGTCGAAAATACAATAGTTTCTCAACACACTTCTGGGAAATACTAGACACACACACACACACACACACACACACACGGCAACAACAACAAAACTCCCCAGAGTTCTCTCACACAAGTTGTAGTTGCCCCTCACACACACCCATACCCACCTTAAAAGTGAAAGAGCCATGGGAATGCAAACTGGTGCAGCCACTCTGGAAAGCAGTATGGCGGTTCCTCCAAAACTTAAAAATAGAACCACCCTATGACTCAGCAATTGCACTACTGGGTATTTATTTAAGGGATACAGATGTACTGTTTCGAAGGGACACAGGCACCCCCATGTTTGTAGCAACACTATTAACAATACCCAAGGTTAACAACTCAGGCAATAATAGATGTTGGCAAGGATGTGGAGAAAGAGGATCCCTTTTGCATTGTTGGTGGGAATGCAAGCTGGTGCAGCCACTCTGGAAAACAGTATGGAGGTTCCTCAAAAAACTAGAAACAGAGCTACCCTACGACCCAGCAATTGCACTACTAGGCATTTATCCATGGGATACAAGTGTGCTGTTTCGAAGGGACACATGCGCCCCCGTGTTTATAGCAGCACTATCGACAATAGCCAAAGTATGGCAAGAGCCCAAATGTCCATCGATGGATGAATGGATAAAGAAGATGTGGTGTATATATACAATGGAGTATTACTCGGCAATCAAAAAGAAGGAAATCTTGCCATTTGCAACTACGTGGATGGAACTGGAGGGTATTATGCTAAGTGAAATTAGTCAGAGAAAGACAAAAATCATATGACTTCACTCACATGAGGTCTTTAAGAGACACAACAGATGAACATAAGGGAAGGGAAACAAAAATAGTATAAAAACAGGGAGGGGGACAAAACAGAAGAGACTCATAAATATGGAGAACAAACTGAGGGTTGGTGGAGGGGTAGTGGGAGGAGGGATGGGCTAAATGGGTCAGGGGCACTAAGGAATCTACTCCTGAAATCATTGTTGTACTAGATGCTAACTTGGGTGTAAATTTAAAAATAAATAAATTAAAATAAAAAAAAGTAAAATAGCCAGCTATTTTATTAGCGAAACAAGTTTATTTGGGAAGGGCAGAGGAGGGGGAGCTTGGGTGGCTCAGTGGACTAAGCCTCTGACTCTTGGTTTCAGCTCAGATCCTGATCTCACGGTTTCGTCTCCCTCTCTCTGCCCCTCCCCAACTCCTGCTATCTCTGTTCTCTCTCAAAGTAAATAAATAAACTTAACAACAACAAAAAAGGAATAGCAGGGGAATTGCAATTTGGAACAAGCCACCTATGGCAACCCATAGGCAAGTCTGCAGGGAGAAAGGGAAGGTTGGCTTTTATTAGGGCTGAGTAGGAATCAGGGGAGGGTTATTTTGAACAGTTTCATTGGAGAAGAGCAAGCGTTTGAGGTTGTGGAGATTTCTCCTTGGCTGGTGGTACTCAGTGGGTTGTTGCTGGGGCAGGGGAAGATCTTCCTTCTTTTTCTTAAAAGCGGGAGATCGGGGCGCCTGGGTGGCGCAGTCGGTTAAGCGTCCGACTTCAGCCAGGTCACCATCTCGCGGTCCGTGAGTTCGAGCCCCGCGTCGGGCTCTGGGCTGATGGCTCAGAGCCTGGAGCCTGTTTCTGATTCTGTGTCTCCCTCTCTCTCTGCCCCTCCCCCGTTCATGCTCTGTCTCTCTCTGTCCCAAAAAA